AAGAGCAATGCGAGATGGGAAAAAAGATTGGAGAAGAAGCAGCAATAATATTGATGTGGTAGGTTTATGACTTATCAGGTAAATTCAATGAAAATACAAAACAAATGCTGAAATGCCAGTGCATCAGGCGTGACGATATCGAAGTGGAAGTAATTTTCTTATTTGCCGTCCATTGCAAGCTCGTGCAAGGAACCTTCGGTGCTGCCCTGCTCTTCCCTGATATAGCTAGGCATTGGTGAATACGGATGGACTTACTTTTCTTCTTTAGAATCCATTTGTTTTTATTCTGTTCTTTTATAAAAATATATCATATAAGTTCTTATTTTATTTGAAGAATTTCTTAAGCGATTTTTCTTATTTTAAGCTGAACTGTTCATGGTTATAAATGAAATAATATATGATTGTCCAAATTTATTGCAGGAATAAGCCCGCGAAAAAAACGATCAACCCATGTAAGTTCTTGAAGTTAAAACAGTATTTATGGAACTCATTAAATTGTTGTCTATATTGGTATTTACGATGCTTGAGTGGGGGGTTTATGTGTGTGTGTGTGTATCGGTATCATATGATTTTGCCTCCATGGTGATTATATTTTTTTCTCGATTGTTTCTAATTAATTTCTTAATTTTATCCCACTCATTAAATAGAAAATAATCTAAAATAAAGGGAATGTTCGCATTAATTTTCCTTTGGAATGTCCAGAGACTCGAAGGCCAATGGCATTGAAATACGGATTTAGAGGAAGAAAAAGACTCCAAGGGAGGTTGGAAGGGTGAGTAGTCTGCGGCAAACATAAATGCCGTAGCAGCCATGAAATTTAGTTTATGCGTATAAAATAATTATCTGGGTGTGAATTTTCAACTATCAAATCTGGTTGCTTAGACCAATGAATCTGCATAATTGTGGACTCCGAAGAATAATAACCACATGGTGTGTGCGCATCGAAAGGGGAAATAGATGGCACCGAAGTACCCATAGGTCGTGTGGCATTGGTTCATAGGTTTTGTCTCCTTCACCCCTTGTTTTTCATGACTGCTCTTTTCTTTTCTTTTTTCATTCTGATATTTTTTTTAAAAAAAAAAAGGAATTATTTGATATCATACTAGTTTTTTTAAAGGAATTATTTGATATCATACTAGTTTTATGCTGGGAAATTCTACGACGCACAAGAATAATCTAGAATTGAAAATTGCAAATGATATTGAACGTCTCGAATCTCATCCCTACATGTAAAGTAAAGTGTAAACAGTGAAGTAGTTGAGAAAAAAACCTGATTTTTTTTAGTATATTGTATAATATCGATATACGACTCCTGAAATATACACGTCTTGTTCTGTTTGTTCTGCCGTTAGTATGGAATATTATTTAAGAATTTGAAGAATAAGTTATTTGATTCTAAAATACGGTGATGGACTTTATATTTCAACATGAGCTGGAAACCCACTGGCGTAGATAATGAATGTAGACTAGACTGCTGGGTGTGTAACTTGTCCTTGTTCCCTTCCTAGAGTAAACATCAGGAGAGTCTATGAATTGTCAAAGTGAAATAAATACGCACGCTAATGACCATCGTTTTCATGAGTCGTGAAGTTTGCTGTGAAAATCTTAAATCAATTCTTGGGATTTTAGCCAGGTTCAGGACTCCCTACTACTAGTTGCGTAGATAGAGTGCAAGGCTACAGTTTTATTCCTGGCTTGTGATCAAGAATAAGATCTCGGATTCTTAACGCCGGGTGAGAAAGTGGACGAGAAAAAGAAAAAAACTTCGGCATGCCATTCCGAAGGAGTGGAAGTTTTTGCAGGGTTGTTCTTCCATTGTATACGTGGAATTAGTGTTTTTTACGGAATCCCTTGGTTATTCCTGACAGAGCACGAAGAAAAACCAACGGTCTATCCAGTAAATAATCATTTAATAATTCAGGAGGGCTGCGATTTTAGAATATGGCCATCATTACAGATAAAGGGTGTTTAAAATTAATAGAACTAACGACTAATTTTAACCTGAAGTTGATCCACGACCCAGTCATGCAATTGAAAATACAGTGTATATACCATATTGTATTCCATGAATGATACTGATGCCTTACGAACTACTGGCGAGCAAGAAAAGGACGGAAAGTGCTGTGGACTTCTGGATTCACACACAAAAGTTGGTGGTGTTGTGGGATTCCCAACACGCAATCACGTTTAAGTTTGGCTCAAAGACCCATCAGAAAATTAAGTAATAAAATATTATTCAATCCATGCAAGTAAAGATCGAGGAAGTGCTTATTTCTAGGTGGAAGCAAAAGATTTTGAAAATTGGAAAATCTGGTGTGGAATTCAATCAAGCACAGAGACTTGATGCATTGCCTGGAAAGATTAAACTCTAATATTTGTTTTCAAATCTCCTCCTCTTTCCATCCCATCAACATTTCTACTGGTTCGTCGGTTTATCTCAATACGTTTCGGCCGGAAGTGTTAGTCAAACAAAAAACACTGCTCCAAAGTCGTAGCCCTTGAAAGAGAAATGTCATCTGGGGTCTGCTCTATGTTCTTAGCCTTTTTGCCAGAAATTAAATAAAAAATAAAAAATGCCAGTTGTTTGGTTAACCCTTACACGTAGCTATCAAGTGGTCAAAAGGCAAGCATACCTTGTGGATCAAGCGATGGGGGAAACCATCATCACCACCGTTGAAAATTCATCGTTTTTACATTTACGTGCATATCGCATGGTTTTTTTCCTTGTTCTAATAATACCTCCATTTTTCAGCTTATGACAATTCCGGTCACACAAGGATGCGCTGTTAATTTCCTCCCGGATTCTTTAACAAAAAGAAGTCACGAAAACGAAATCCCCACAAATTCGTCATCAAAATAATTTTTTTATATATATATATAAATACATTTAAATAATAATAAAATACTCAAATAAAATATAAATTTAATGTTTTTTAAAGAGAAATACTCTTTTAAAACATATGTGAAAAACACAATCCCAAACAAACAATAAAAAAATAAAAAACAAGGAAATTAAAAAGAACAAAGAAAAGTTGTGCCGAGAGTTATAATCTCATAGATGGCTCCTTGAAAGAAAGAAAGAAAGAAAACTACGCGTAGATACCATCTTATTTAAAAAGTATTTGAAATTATGATATAAAGTATTTTTTAAAATAATTTTTATTTAAAAATATATTAAAATAAATATTTTTAATTTTTAAAATTACCACATGAATATTATCCTAAAACACTTAAAAATATTAATTTAATATATTTTCAAATTAAAAATACAATTAAAAATAGAATGGAAGTTGTGACTTATACGGTAGGCTACTTTAAAAAAACAAAAAAAGAAAGAAAGAAAGCTCGTACTTGAGTGATTTGATAGTGGGGACTTCGCCATGTTTCTTTCAACTCGTTGACAAATATGGCTGGCTTCTTCTTCTTTTTAGTGGTTATCCATTCGAATATAAATTCAAAACCTTAAATTCTTGTTCGCTTACTATAAAAACAAATTAATTTGAAAAAAACAAGTATTACTTGGGATAAAAACAATTTAATATGTTAGTGCATGTTTATTTTCATGCTATAAATAAATTTTTTATAAAATAATTTAGATTGAAATTAATTTTTTTATTTTAAATCAAGTTATGTTTAATATGTCAGTGGATGTTTATTTTTACGGTGTAAATTGAGTTTCTATAAAACAATTTAAATTGAAATTAATTTTTTTATTTTGAATCATTTCAATATATTAATATAAAAAACATATTATCTTAATATATTTTTAAATAAAAAATATTTTTAAAAATATTCATTACTATAATACAAAATAAACACTCCAGGTAAGTAATGCGGCAATAGGGGTGCAGATTCTTTAACTAATAAACTTCAGATTATTTTCATGTATTTTAAAAAATTTTAATTTTATATTTAAAATTATTTTTTTAATATTTTTAGATCGATTTAATATATTAATATTAAAAAATATTTTTAAAAAAAAATATTTTAAAAAACAATCATTATTATATTTTCAAATACTCCATTAATTATCTGTGTTAATATAATATTTAACCTGGTAATTAGTAACACTTGTATTAATCAGCACATAATAGCAACGATTGCAGCTATAATTCAAAAATGAAGTAGCGAATTAAACCTAAAATCGTTGAGACCAGGTTTTTTTAAAGGTTTTTTTTCCCCTTAAAGCTATGTTTAAGAATAAGTCCTTGTTGAAAAAACCTCCAGCCAACATCAATCCTCTTTCATTTCAGACCAATACCCTGCAGAGTACAAACTCGCACCAACTCAGTGAGTTGGAGTTTGATCTTCTCTACAAAACATCCATCCTAGCTGGAGAATAATAACATTGAACTTCATCACTACCAGGGGCAGTATGAAACTTTGACGAATCTTAACTCAGCCACGCTTACTTAAATGACACCACGTGGCAGCTAGCCTGTAAAGTGTGATGGGACTTCGTACCCGAAATATAGTTGACACCCCACTGTATGATTACGATGACAGAGAATAATTTTATTTTTGTTTTATTGAATTTTATTCAGGTTTATTTAATTTAATTACTATTAAATATTTTATTTAGTTGACTATAAATTTACTTGTTTGTTCTCGTTAATATTTTAGTATTTATATATTAATTTTATAAATGTTAGACAATACTTTTTATGAATTGAATAAAATTTATAAAGTTGTAGGCTTTTCCACCGCTCAATCTCTCTTTTTGGTTTTTTTTCTTTTAGTTTTATTTTTTATTTCTTATTAGGTTTCAATTATTTTTTTTATCTCGCTTCATCTTAGATACCCAAGCATAAACAATGCATAGACTAGACTAATTCAAAATCTCAAAATTCAAAATAGATCATAAAACCGTGAAAGTTTTCAACTTGTTTAAGATTATAATAACAGTCATGGTTCAAACTAATTTTTATTTAAAGATATATTAAAATAATATTTTTTTTATTTTTTTAAAATTATTTTTAAATTAATATATCAAAATAATATAAAAATAATAATAATAATTTAAAATTTATGGTTTGCACCGCATTCACAATCTAACCCTTCATTGACACAAACTGAAAAGAAGAAGAAAAGGCAGTGCATCAAGATCAACAAGAAAGTGACCTGAGAAAAGAAAGAAAGGCCACACCCATCAACCCCCACATCAAAGATCCAACACCACTTCAGCCACCCACAACCACGACCAGCACAACAGTGCATTAACAGCCCGCATCAACAAGTCAGAACTTGCACCGGCTTGTTTTGACGATTTCAACATTTGCATTTATGAAACTCGGGTTGTTTATTGCCCGTGGAATGTATTATGACGGGGAGTCCAGGATTGCTTGATTGGTGTTGGATGTGACTTGACAGAAGATGACCTGTGTTGACGCCTGTTTCATGGTTTGATGTGAGCACTTGCCACGAACACCAATCTCTCTTCATTGCCGGTGATCGAAGACACCCAGCGCAATGAGGTGGAGTCATCTTTAGGTAGGAAGTTATACACGAGTGATTGTACAGTAATTTTTCATTTTCAGTCTGCATTTTTGACCGTTATAGAAGATTGAAAATCAAGGGAGATTCAAATTCTTCAAAAATTAATCAATTGGGTGTTTCAAATGAAAGCCAGAAAGTTGTGACAAAAAGAAGGCCAACACCAGTCCCTCGAGGTCACAACCTCACGTATCCGCAAAATTCAATTTTTTTATATTTTATTTATTTATTTATTTATTTCTAGTTATAATTTCTTTTCTCTTTATTATTAAAAAAAGGTTGAAAAAAATCAAAAAAAATAGTGAAAAGTGCCAATAGAAAAACAATTAAGAGAAAAGTGGGAAAAAATACATATAAGTATCAAAAGTTACTTCTACTTACATCAATAACATCATTCAAAGTAGTTTATCGTCATTATTAATCAATTTGGTTTACCAACCACTTAAATTTTTTATTTTTAAAATTTTTCTTCAGTGCTATTATACTTGTTATTAGAAGTCATAGTTGATAATACCTTTTGTGATTAATAAAAAAAATAAAAGAAAATTTCAATCTTGCATTTTATTTCTTGTATTTTTGCTTATAAACCCACTTCATTATTGATATCTAAGTATCTAGCCCTATTTGTAAATTGTGAGTTCTTGTTTGTAACATTGTGTTTGATTAATCATTTACACTTAAAGGTCTAGTAATATATGCTTAAAATATTCTTAGTGTATTTTGTTCTTGATTAATCTCTACATTAAAAAGAAAATAGAGTGAGATTAGCTTTATTTTTTGTATTGTGATTTCACTTGCAGAAACTATTTGTGATCTTAATTTCATCCCTAAATTAGTATTACATGCATTAGGGTTAGTTATACCATTAAGGTCATTCAAAGGGAATTAAAGCTTACACAAACCAAGATGACCAACATGTCTAAAAAGGTTAAACTCCTAAAGAGTTCTTGAATAAAGCATCCAAAGACCAGTAAAATTATAGCTATAACCACTATAAACAAGTTCACCTTAAATACCATCAATATGAATGTCATCTAGGTTACTTTAGATATGATAACTTTAATAAGCTTTAATAAAATAAAGGATTCTATTTTTAATGATCATCATGACTCTTGGTAAGCTTTAATAAAATAAAGGACTCTATTTTTAATGATCATCATGACTCTTGAATTTTTAATAGGTGGATTAGTGACATGGATAACTGCTTTATAATTTTTTTGATAATAGAAAAGTAAGGTTTGCCAAGATGAAGCTCATTAGTAGAACCCAATTTTATTAGGAATATGTTAAGGATTATTCACAAAGAAAAAGTAAATCTCTTTATCACTTATTGGAATAATATAAAACAAAAATTACAGGAAAAGCATCTACCTCAATCTTATAGAAAAAAGTCTTTAAACTAATGAAATAATCTTAGGTAATGGAAAAGGTTTGCAATGATTATATAGAACAATTTAATGATTATATGATAAAACGTGTCATAAAAGAGAATGAAGTCATGATTTTATGTAGGTTTTGTAAAAGCTTGAATGGTGATTTTAGAAAAAAGATCATACTCATAGGTGTTTTCAATATTGGCTAAACTTATATTGTAGTGTAAGATTATGAGTTGTTTATAAACAAAACATTAGGATCTTGTATTACCTCTTTTAATTCTCACTTCAGAAATAATAGGTCTTTGTTAAGTACTCTACCACATAGATCTAATCATAGTAATGCCTAAATTTATAAAGAAGATAAAGACAAAAGAAGATAAAGACAAACAAGTCATTAATGACATATTAAGGACGAGTTCAAAGATTTCTTACATTAAATGTCAATGTTTCAATCATATCTTCCTCAATCATTCCTCTAAACCCTTAATCACTCGAGAATATAAAGATGTAGATACGTGAAAAGAAAAACTATTGTATGCAAGTCCATGAACTTAATCTTGAGAACTTTAGTAACATGTATAAAAAGGATCTACAAGAAAAGAAACTTAATACAACAAGTCCTAATGAATCTGAAAAAGAAGGTTAATGAAGAATATATTAATTCAACTTTAGTAATAGAGGAAATTTTAAAAAAATCTTTAATGAAACTGTCTAAAGAAGTAAATGTAGTGTTAGAAGATATTTTAGATACTTGTCCACTTGAACTCCCTAATACCTCATGTCCTATGCTTGATAATTTCCCTAATACCTCATGTCCTATGCTTGATAATCAAATTATAATAGATTTTGAGAGACATGTTGAGCTTTTAATCCTTTACCCCATATATCTGATAAGAAAGATGAAAATAATTCTACTTTATCAGGTTGTGCCTAAACCATATTTACTCAGATTTTGAATAATGTTTGTTTCATTCCATACCTTCAGTCACATAATGTTTATAATTATAAGTCTAAAAAACTTATAAATCTTTTTCTCATGTCTCCTTGTGCTAGGATGTTTGATTAAGCTGAGCCTTTTGTATGTAAAGTTTATAATTTACATGTTGAGATCAATGAACAAATTCAAGTAATGAACAATATAAATTTCAAGATAATTTATACAAGTATCATTATGTACTTAATATTGAAGATTATTTCATAACACATATTAGACATGAACAGTGTCTCTAGAAACTAGTTATAAATTGTAAGTGAGTAGTGTTAGCCATTCAACATGTAGCAAATGATTGAATCAAATAGTTATACCATTAAATTTTGATATTAGTTCTACTTTTAACATGAGAAATCTTATTATATATAAAACACAACCTATCATTAATGCTTCTTTTGATATCTCAACCTCATTATTCTTTTTATTAGCATAAAAGGAGCATATTAATGATACTTTTGTATGTAGAGTTTATAATTTACATGTTGAGATCAATGAACAAATTCAAGTAATGAACAATATAAATTTCAAAATAATTTACACAAGTATAATTATATACTTTATGTTAAAGATTATTTCATAATACATATTAGTCATGAATGGTGTCCTTGAAAACTAGTTGCAACTTAGTAGCGTTGGCCATTCAAAATGTTGCAAATGATTAAATCAAATAGTTATACAATTAAACTTTTCTATTTGTTGTACTTTTAACATGAAAAACTTTATTATATATAAAACACAACCTATTATTAATGTTCTTTTTGATATCTCAACCTCATTAGCATAAAAGGAATATATTAATGCTACTTTGCCAATGAGCAAATAGCTCAACTGGCAATAGCCCCCCCGGCTCGAAGAGATCTTATGTTCATGCCTCTCCTTTGTGATCCAAAAAAACATGTTATTTTGGATACACAAGTTATTTTTGTTAGGAATTGTGAAGTTTAGTGAATCCCAGTACATAAGCTAGGTGACCAGATTCATAATTTATTAGAAATACTAGAAAGACATCACAACAACTTGATTCTTATCTTTGAAAGCATTATCCTTAAACTATATTTAATGAGGTAAAGTTCTTCTAATCAAAGGAGAGTTAGTGAGGATATTAGACTAGAAATAAACTAGGTGACCAGATTCATACTTTACTAAAAATACTAGAGAGACATCACAAAAACTTGATTCTTATTTTTAGGAGCGTTATCAAAGTTGTCTTAAACTATATTTGATGAGGTCATGTTATTCTAATCCAAAAGAGTTAATAAATATTTTAGGCTTGAAACATAGTTCACATGTCCATATGATTCATAATGACAAATAATAAATCAACTCTTGTGTTATTGAATTTTATATTACACTTTATTTAGATCCAAACCCAATTGTTTGTTTCAGCTAGAATTTTAGTATTTTTATAATATTTTTCTAAATGTTAGGTAATTCTTTTTGATAAATTAAATAAAATTTATAAATTTCCGTAATTTTTCAACCCTACTCTTATTTTCTTGGTTTTTTTCTTCTTCTTCTTCTTCTTCTTTTATTTTTACTTCTTTGTAGCTTCTTCCTTTCTTTTATATCAGGCTTCAAAAAAAAAAAAAATCCAGCATCCTGCTCGCATCAAGGAAGGGCAGTGCTACCGCTATTTTGTAGCCCAACATTAATAGACCTCCTTGTGAACGGAAAACAAAAAAGTAAATAACAAGGGGGAATTAGGAAAAAATACAACAGGACAGGCATGCGTCCAATTTCAAAAACATTAAAGCAAATGTCGATGAGCCCATATACTGCTTGAACAAAAAGGACCAAAATCAGGTTGAACAAATACGTTTTTTATTTTTTTTTAAATGCTTTTAGAAGTTTTCTAATGTAATCCATGTCCGTTGTCTAATAGCATCAATACCAGATGGTGATGCTGCATTCATTGTAACAGAACAGCCAGCTTATGTTTTCTCAATTGGCGGCCAAAGACAAAGCTACAAGTTTATCTCTAATAAAATCTCAGGGTGTTTTCCATTCTTTTATATATATGATGTTGTGGACGAGTAAAACACACCAGAGCAATCAGTGCAGATAACTTCTTTTTTTATGAATAACTTATTTATAATCTACACAAAGTTAACCCCTTCACCCAACAATATTATAAAAAACCGCACCTGCTTATATCTAGTTCGACGAGGCATCAACAGGCTTCACAGACAGATCTTGCAGCCCACAGACCATATTTGAAGGAACAGCTATGTCAATCATCTTTGGATATGGAAGATTCAGACTTGTAAAAAATGAGTAATCTTTAAACTCAATCTTCAAAAGATGTAAAAAAACTAGCAGTGTTATTCGAATAGAATATTAAAATAGATGAAGTTACTTCCTTTCCATGATGCTCTTGAACATTTCCGGCAGAAATAAGAAAAAGGTTACTGCAAGAATTGAATATTACAATTATGCATGTTTACTTTTCGACTAGATAACTTGGAGTCATAGAAGCATAGAATACGTTTAAATCATCTCTCTTCCGAATTTAGCTTTAATTGTTTGTATCAATATACTAAAACTTAGTAATTGGTAATTGGTAATACTTCTATTAATTGCACATAATAGTAATGATTAGAGCTATCATTCAAAAATGTAGTAGCTATTACTCCTAAAATTGTTGGGAACAGTTTTTTTCTTAAGGCCTTTTTCCTCTAAGTTTATATACGAGAATAAGTAATCACTAGAAGAGGAGTAAACAGTTATACAAGTCAACAACTGAGTAGGCACCAAGTCCTTGTTCAAAATCCCACCAGAAAACCACCAACCAACATCAATTCCTTTTCATTTCAGACTAGGTAGCCCAATCAAGTCCCCAGTTCATTTCAATTAGATAAAGATCATCAATCTCACCCGTCCACAAAGTACAAAAACAAGCATCCATCTCCAAAATCAGCTTCATCACCATGAGGGACACAATATGAAATTTTGAGAAATGTTAAAACAGCCACACTTACATAAATGACAACAGGTGGCAGCTACCCAGCTTCGCCAGTAAAGTCAATTGACATGGTATAAAGTGACTTGGGTTCAAATCCTGCTCGCATTAAGGAAGGCGAGGGTTTAACCTCCTTATGAATGGAGAAAAAAAGTAATAACAATGGGGAGTTATTAGCGAATACAGAATACAGCAGGACTGGTATGCATCCAATTTCAATGACTTAACGCAAATGTCAAGGAACCCATATGCCGCTTGAACAAAAGGGGTCATGATCAGGTTGAATACCCAGTTCTAGTATTTGGGTGCACAGCAGAAATCACAGTGAGCATTGCGAATGAAGCCAGTATTTCTCTCATCCTATATTGGCGTCTGTGATTGAATCACAATTCTACTACAGAATTTAGCAATGGAATTATGACCATGGATAATATAGTTCATTTCTTAGTTTTATTTAATGCCTTTTCTTTTTATGGATAACCTATTCTTTTAATTTGAACAAACACATTCTTTTTATTTTTTAAGATACTTGTATAAGTTTTGTAATGTAATCCATGTCCATTTTCTAATAACATCAATACCAGATGGTGATGTTGCAGTCATTGCAACAGCCAACTTGTGTGTTCTTAATTGGTGGTCAAGGATTCGGAGGGTCACAAAGCTACAAGGAAAACATGCATTTAAAAAAATAGGTAATGAGGTAGCCAAAGTTTATCCCTAATAAAATCTCAGACTGTTTTCTGTCCTTTTATATACATGACATTGTGCAGGAGTAAAATACACCAGAGCAATCAGTGCAGATAATGTATTTATAATCTAGACAAAGATAATGCAGGAGTAAAATACACCAGAGCAATCAGTGCAGATAACTTATTTATAATCTAGACAAAGTTAACTCCTTTATCCAACAATACTATAAGAAAACTGCACCTGATAATATCTAGTTTGACGAGGCATCAACAGGCTTCACAGACAGATCTTGCAGCCCACAGACCATATTTGAAGGAACAGCTATGTCAATCATCTTTGGATATGGAAGATTCAGATCTGTAAACAATGAATTATCTTTAAATTCAAAGTTCAAAAGATGTAGAAAAACTAGCAGTATTGAATAGAATATTAAATAGATTAAGTTACTTACTTTCCATGATACTCTTGAACATTTCCTGCAGAAAGAAGAAAAAGGTTATTGCAAGAATTGCATTACTTAGAGAATGACATGAGGTCTGCATGCAAAGGGGGAAAAAATGGCAATTTCAAATTTTGGCAGGCTCTTGTAATATTCAAGTAAACTAAGAATCAGCCTCTTCTCATAGGAAATCAGTAGATTAATGATGATCTGAATTTTGTTTGATATGTTAAAGACTAAATATTACTATGAAATATCAGTAAGTTGCAACCTACTAACTAATAATTGGATAAGAACAATGACTTCCACAAGGAAAATACAATCTAAAAAGATCGGGCCATGACACAAAGGAACAAAAGAATCACCTCATCTTTGGTTAGTCTGGGATTATATTGCATTTCCTCCCCAACAGTGCTGACCTGGACGTCACACAAAGGTTAAGCATAAGCATCTGCATGACAGATCTAGAAATCTAAAAAACAGTAAGAGATGGCTCCATACAGTGAATCCCCGGTAATCATGAGCAGGATATATCAAGGTTTCCTTGGGCAATGAAAATATCTGGTTCCATTAAAATGAGGCAAAGGTTAAATAAATATTACTAATTCTCTCTCTTTTTTAAAATAGAAAATCATATGTTATTCCTCGTGTAATGTCCTTGCCTGTGAATGTACTGACTGGTAGAGTTGATGCGCACTTCCACCCTATAAGCAAAATTAATGGGATTGAAAATGCTGCTAAATAATTTCCATAAAATGCCCTCAAATTTCCAGTAAGTTACATTCAAAAGGATAAAACAGGCCAGACCTGAAAATCAGTTCTTCCACATCCACGTATTAGCAATGCATCTCCGGTGAAAGCCATCCTTGGCTGAGGCTGATCTGACCCATCTCCAGTAACATATGTAACACAACCCAGTGTATGACCCGGAGTAGCTCGAACCTGCCGAAACAGAAATATAGAAGAATTGATATGCATGTTGATAAAGACATGCCAATAGATGGATGAGGCGTGAAAAAATAATAAACAATGCATTATTATTTTCCATCCCATTAATTTAATTGGGAAAAAAGTATATGATGATTCTACAACTAGCAGCAAAATCAGATGGTTATTTATTTTTTTCATTCGATCCTCAGGGCACTTCTCTCCCTCATAAATTACGCTCTTGGTGCCTCAATTCATTCAAATTTTATGCTTGATTGAAGTCTGATACTTCTAGCTTCCGAAGAAGATAGCTTCTCTCCACGTCCATTCAAATTTCAATAAGAAAAGAAAAATGAAAGTATGGGCACTATCCATGGAGTCCCGTTGTTGCGGTTAAGATAACAACTAAAACTTGGTAACTCTAGCCAGTAATTCATTGTTAGTTAATTGTTGGGTACATTTCATTGCAGTTATTCTAATAATTAATTAATTAAAAAAAAATACCCTAGCTCTTAACGCCTGGGACGAACAACAAAATCAAAAGCAATAAAATCATTATTACCTCTAGAAAAAGATCCCCAAAATGAATTTTATCGCCAGCTTCAATGTGAAGATCAGCTTTCGATTTGCTTGCTTTCGAGATAATAGATTTCACAGAAGGAACCTTGGTCTGCAAAATATGGAAATAGCAGTCAATGACATGAAATGAAATGAAATAATACATGCAGAGTAAAAGGAGTGTCGTGACCTTAATCAAGCCAGTTCCAGTCACATGATCAGCATGAACATGGGTGTTTATAGCATAAATTAACTTCAACCCCAGCTCTTTTACAAGGGAAAGGTCCCTGTCTACTGTCTTATCAACTGGGTCAATTAACTGCAGAGAGAGGAGAACAGCGATATATAAATAAATAAATTTTAATTCTAGTTCAAGTTCAACACCCCAAAAAAAAAAAACAATTTTAATATTTTAATTTAAATAATTAGAAAAAGAGAAGGGAGGAAGGGGGGGAGGGGGTAAATGTGCCGAGTCTGGGGGAGGGGGTAAATGGCCGAGTCTACTTAACCAGAGCAGGTTTATCAGGATGAGCAACATCAGCCAACAAATAGGTGTAAGTAGAGGAATCCTTCTCGAAAAGCTGGCGAAACAAGAGCTTCTTGTCCTTGAAGGCCTGAGACGACGCTGCCTTTGTGTAACTCATCATTGTGCGATAGTTGTTGTTGAGCCTGGGTTTTTGGGCTTGTGAAGAGAATAATGAGAGATTGGAGAGAGGGAGTCGAAGTGTATGTATTCGAAGCATTGTTGATTTTATTGTTGATATGGATTAGTTTGACGATCAGATCAATGGTGGTTTGCGAAGCCAGCAAAGAATAGGGACTTCAATGATTGGTGAATAAAATAACCTAATCAACTAAAACAGTTTTCAGCGCCCACTGTTTATCCTCTTCTTCTGCTCCCATTGCCTATCTTCTCACAGTTTTCTGTTGGCTCCCCCGTTCATACCCCCTTTTTTTTCCTCTTTTTTATTATTGTCTCTTCAAGTTCTGCTGTCGTCACTTTGCCCACTGAATTTTTTTTATTATTATTTTTTTTCAATTCAGACCTTTCAGGCAGTGTTCATTGATAGAAACTGTTTTCCATTTTTAAATTCCAGTTTTCATTCCTTTTCCGGTTTTCATTTTTTAATGGAAAATTCATTCAATTATTAGATGCTATCTTAAGGATAAAAATAGGGTTATTAAAATTTAAAGGATATCTTTAAGCTAAAACAAGTTGAAAATAAATTTGTAAGATATAAAACTTAATTTTTTTAATTGTCAGATGACGAAGAATAAATGTAGAAGATTATAAATGGTTTGACGTGTACATTTATATATAAATAAATGAAGCAGACTTCAAAAAAAAAATAAATAATAATAATAACAAATCCATCAGGCGCTTAAGCTTTTCTATCCTAAGCCAATCCACCAGGCGCTTAAGCTTTTCTATCCTAAGCCAGGCAGCAGTTGGTTTCTTTTTACATTTGATTAATTTTTCAATTTAAATTTCATTTACGGCCCTCTCTTATTTTTAAATAATGATTAATTTTTTAAAAAATTAATTCATAACATTTTTTAGGAGATTATTGGAATTTATATTTGAATAAAAATTATTTGCTCTTAATTAGTAGAATTAACCTTTAAGATAAAATAAATTAAAACATATAAAATAAAAAAATAGTTAGGGTTAAATATTTGGGTGCACTGAGAAAATTAACCTTTTGTTTTAGTATTTAATTATAGCTATCAACTCTTTTCTAGTTTATCAATTCATATATTTTTAATTTGTTTTATTTATAATTAAAAAAATCTTTTTGTTTCTCACTTAAAAAATCATAATATTAAAAAGTATATATATAATGTTGAATGTTAACTATAAATAACTTCATTTTTATGTTTGTAAATTTATTTTTAAGGGAAAATTCAATAAAGATGATTTTCATCTTCAATAATGCGTAAAAAAGTATTGAGGTCATTGATTTATTTTCTTGAATTCATTTAATTTTTATTTTTTAGAGAGATTAAAGTCTATTTTAATTTAGAAATGGGGTTGTTAAGGTTCATGAGATAATTTTGATTGAAATCAAATTAAAAAATAAGTTTAAGGGATTCAAAACTCATCAAAAACAGGCACAAAAAATAATAGGTTAGCTGCCACACTAGACAATATATATCCATTTATATATAAAAAATAGAGCGAATGACATCTGATCCTTTCAAAAACAAAAATAAATAAATAAATATTATCCATACGTGTAGATCGAAGCTTAGAATCGTGCACTTAGGCTTTTTTATCCCAGGCCAGGCTCCCAACGGTTGGCTTTTTTTTAATTTTCTATTTAAATTTTAATTAACATCCTCTCACCTTTTTTATAAAAAAAATTGTTCAATTTTAAATACTAATTAATTTTTTTATTTCATAATATTTCAAATAAATTATTGCAATTTATTTTAAAATTTTTCATTTTATATTTTATATAAAAATAAAAATTGTTTGTTCTTACTGGGTTAACCTCTAAAATAAAATAAATAAAAAGAAAAGTTACTTACGCCATCTAACTAGTTATTTCATTTTATTTTCATTCTTTTAAAAGTTATAATTTATTTTATAGAGTTTATAAATTCATAATACTTTTCATCAAACCACAAAAAAATACAAAAAAATTAGATTTTCTATAAAAATGACATTATATTTCAATTAATGGATAACACACACCCTTCTCCTTTTATCCTCGTCGGAGTCCGACCACCCAGATTCCTTTTTCAGCATACCTGAAAAAAATTGCAACCAGTGAAGCAGCACTGATAATTCAGTGCTCCCGGCGTATATACAAATTAACGAAGCAAGGCATAGCTGTTCATGGTGTGGTTGTGATAGTTGTGTTATGATTACTTTTTAAATAATTTTTTATATTAAAATATATTTTTTATATTTTTTTAAAAAAAAATTATTTTTCATATTAATATATTAAATTATAATAAAAAAATTTAAATTTTTAAAAAACATAATTTACACCGTATTGTCACCGCTCCGATCCAAGTAACCTAACAAAAAAGCTTTTCGCCCGCGACTTCTATTGCGCTGCCGTCTTCCGAACAAAATTGTGGAACACTTCAACATGATCCTCGTGGACCCAATGGTCATCCCCTGCCACCGGTGGCGGACAAGGCCTCATTGCTTTCCTAGACGCCCTCTCCACAACTGTCCCTTCTGCTTAATACCTCCACTTTCATTTCATACATGCCGTAAATTTCATGATGGCTCCATTAAAATACCAACAAAAGTCTACCAACCTGTCATGTCGAAAATATCAATTCAAGAGGTGGCTGCGATTCGAAGATATGTGAAAGAATATTGGTTGGATCTGTTGGTCTCCTCGGGGAACGTAATCAGATGGCTGGATAGGCAAAAAAATTTGAGGGCAAGTGAAAGGATCTAGGTAGTTTTTGTTTGTGCTTCTTACCGCCCATTAAAAAAAATGAATTGTTTTAATGTTTTGACATTAAAATTTAAAAAAATACTATTTTAATATATTTTTAAATAAAATATTTTTAGAAGATAACTTTTATTATGATCTCAAATATATTTTTAGTGTTCTTTCAACCTTGAAGAAAATTTGAGAATGTAAGATTAGGGTTAGGATTTAAAAATTTTGGGAATTTGAAAATTTATATATGAGGTTATATTCATCATTTTATCGAAAATTAAAATTTTTATTGACTGAGTGATGCAAGCCGTGATTTTTAAAATAATAGATATAGTGAAAAAATAATCTAACTATAAAATGATTAGGGTATTTTTTTCTAAATAAAAACATATAAAATAAAAAAAAATTGGGGTTAAATATTTGCATGTTCTAGGAAAATTAGCTTTATATTTTAATATTTAATTAAAATCAACAGCTATTTTTTATTTATCGGTTTATAATTTTTTTTATTCAGAATAAATAACATATTCTTGTTTTTCACTGAAAAATCATAATATTTAACATAAATAACATAATATCTATTCAGAATAAATAACATATTCTTGTTTTTCACTAAAAAATCATAATATTTAAAAATACATACATAATGTTGTTACAGTTTAAACACTAGATATGGATATCCACCACAAAATGAGACCAAATTATCATTATTTTTGTGTAAAAAATAATGCTGGAGCACTGTAAATACATTTTAACGGAGGGGAAAAAAATATAACTCGGGCATAGATCTTATTAGGTCAAATAAATTTGTTTATTTTAATTTGATAATAAAAAATAGACAATAATAATAAATAAATTAAATGAAAAAAATAATCACTATAACCAAATTTTTTTTTTCAAAAATAGAAAACTACGTAGCTTAATTTCTAGTTAATTAAATATATAATGATAAAATTAAATAAAAAAATAAAAAAAAAATAACCCGAGTTAGCATGATAAATTTATAAACTATTTAATAAGGGCCAACCCAACCCATGTTAACGTATTATCACTCAGATTATAAGATTAAAATAACTTGATAAAAAACAAAAAAATAACAAGTCTCATTTAAAAAAAAATAAATGATGAAATCTAAAAAGAAAATAAGTAAAACAAATGTCAACTTAACTTTTTATATTCGTGACCCAAGTTATTAGATTGAAACATTATATCTAAAAATATCATAAAGCCTGATTATCAACTAATTAAATGTTAAATGATAAAATTAAAAAAAATAACAAAAAAAAGTTTTAAAACAAGAAATAACAATTAAGAAGATAAGGATAAAAACTAAAATAAAAGGAATACTTAGAGGACAAGTTAAGAAAAATCAATTTAACAAAAATATTCATGAAAAAAAAATGATGATCAAATTAGAGAAAAACAATACATCACAAATTGTGATTGAAGTATGAAATTTAAAAGAGATTAAAATTTTACAAAAAAAACAAGAAAAAAATAAAAATGAAAAGAACAAGGACAAGGACAATTCAAAAAATTTAAATATCCAGTGCAAATTACAAGGGGATGATAGAGAAAAGAGAGGGCAAGAAAGCATCGTTGATGATAAGTCACGCCACTATCGCTAGGACATGTTATCCCAGTAAAAAGAAGATGTCGTGATGATTCTAATAATATGAAGAAAGTGAGTTTTTGACTATGAAGAGATATTGTTCCAACAAAAAAAAGATGTTGTGATGATCCTAGTAACATGGAGAAAGTGAGTTTTTGGTTGTCAACAGATATTACACGCCCTACTAGAAGATTGCAAGTTTGTTCAACACACATCAATTATTTTTATTTTTTTAATTATATTTTATTACTAGATATGGGTTTGTGTTATGCCACAATTCTATTTTTTTTTATTTTATGAAAAAACTATGTTTAAGAGCCACAAGCATATTTTTAAAAAAAAACATTTGATAATTCATGTTATAGCCTTTATTGGTTAAATAAGTTAGTTTTATTTTAATCAAATAGTAAAAAATAAACAAAAAATAATTAAAGGATAAAAATTAAAAAAAAAATGCCATGATAACTTGTGATAAAAACCCTTTTTTAATAGCTAGAAAAATATAATTTAATTTTTAATCAGTTAAATATATAAATATATAATAAAAATTAAGTTATTCTGAATTAAATAATTAAACCCGCATTTCAGATGATGTGGTTGAAATAAATGGTTTGTATAAGCTGCAATTAGTGAAAACTTAAAGAAGATTAAATCTCTCTCTTAACAGTAAATGGTTTGTGTGGTGATGCGATTTAACTTGTTGGTCAAATTTTTTTTGACTGAAAAAACGTGAAGTGATGTTTTTAAAGTGTTTTGTTAATCACATCAATGACTCTTGTATCCTCCTTGGCAACATACTTTCTTGGTAAATAGAGAGATAAAAATCAAAAAGATAAAAGAGAAATAGTAGCTCTCGACCTCAGGTTCCACCATAAAACCGGACTGAAACAGTAACGAGCCGATAGATCCATCTGTTAAAATAAACAAAATAATGACAATTACTCTTACATACTTACTAGAGAGAGAGAGAGA